GATACCGAAGATACACTGGCTAAGAAAGCACACAGGGCTGGAGAATTGGCTAGAAAAAGGGAGAATTGGCTAAAGAAAGGAAGAATTAGCTAGAGAAAGGGAGAATAGGCCAGAGAATAGGAGAATTGGCCAGAGAAAGGGGGAATTGGCTAGAGAAAGGGAAAACAGCCTAGAGAAAGGGAGAACTGGCTAGAGAAAGGGGGAATTGGCTAGAGAAAGGGAGAATTGGCTAGAGAAAGGGAGAACTGGCTAGAGAAAGGGAGAATTGGATAGAGAAAGGGGGAATTGGCTAGAGAAAGGGAGAACAGGCTAGAGAAAGGGGGAATTGGCTAGAGAAAGGGAGAACTGGCTAGAGAAAGGGAGAATTTGATGGAGAAAGGGGGAATTGGCTAGAGAAAGGGAGAACTAGCTAGAGAAAGGGAGAATAGGCTAGAGAAAGGGGAATTGGCTAGAGAAAGGGGGAATTGGCTAGAGAAAGGGAGAGCTGGCTAGAGAAAGGGAGAACTGGCTAGAGAAAAGGGGAAATTGGCTAGAGAAAGGGAGAACTGGCTAGAGAAAGAGAGAACTGGCTAGAGAAAGACAGGCTTTCATGTGTGCAGTGACAGGAGCAACATTCTATAAAGAACCTACTGATTGATGAGGATGATGAAATATTTTCAAATACATTTTGTTATGCAGAAACTCATATTGTCAAACATAGACTTACTTTTTCTTCCAGTCAGTGACGTACAGATATTCACCAATGACATCAACAGAGAAGTAATGAGCTTCAGGCTCTTCTATCAATGTTGTAATACTCCCACTGGCCAGATCCATGACACTGATCTTGTCTGAGTGGGCATCCACCCAAAACAGTTGATTGTCTGCAGCAGAAGAACCAAGTAGTAGTAAAAAAAAAAAAAGTAAAGTTCCCTTTTCACGCATTTCGGCGCATCGGGCATATGGGCAGAGCGTCCCAAAAAAACAGTATCCTGTACAACCCACCTGGGCTATAATGAGGATCCAGAGTTTTCTTCTTTTTTAAAGTTGTGTATTTACCCTTGTCAATTGTGCTTGTTATATGGTTATTTCATATTGTGCAGATTATGTGTTAACTATAATGGACTGAAGATTTATAGATCAAACACAAGTAGAACGAACCAGTGCTTTTTACCAGTGCTTTTTATTGTGATAGTTTTTCAGATCATCTTTTTCTTTTTTATTCTGAAAGTTTACTGTAATAGTTTTTCAGATCATCTTCTTCTTTTTTCTTCTGAAAGTTTACCGTGATAGTTTTTCAGATCATCTTCTTCTTTTTTCTTCTGAAAGTTTACAGTTATAGTTTTTCAGATCATCTTCTTCTTTATTCTTCTGAAGTTTACAGTGATAGTTTTTCAGATCATCTTCTTCTTTATTCTCAAAGTTTACTGTGATAGTTTTTCAGATCATCTTCTTCTTTATTCTTCTGAAAGTTTACCCTGATAGTTTTTCAGATCATCGTCTTCTTTTTTCTTCTGAAAGTTTACCATGATAGTTTTTCAGATCATCATCTTCTTTATTCTGAAAGTTTACCGTGATAGTTTTTCAGATCATCATCTTTTTTATTCTGAAAGTTTACCGTGATAGTTTTTCAGATCATCATCTTCTTTATTCTGAAAGTTTACTTAAATAGTTTTTCAGATCATCTTCTTTTTTCTTCTGAAAGTTTACCGTGATAGTTTTTCAGATCATCTTCTTCTTTATTCTGAAAGTTTACCATGATAGTTTTTCAGATCATCTTCTTCTTTATTCTTCTGAAAGTTTACCGTGATAGTTTTTCAGATCATCTTCTTCTTTATTCTTCTGAAAGTTTACCGTGATAGTTTTTCAGATCATCTTCTTCTTTTTTCTTCTGAAAGTTTACCGTGATAGTTTTTCAGATCATCTTCTTCTTTATTCTTCTGAAGTTTACAGTGATAGTTTTTCAGATCATCTTCTTCTTTATTCTCAAAGTTTACTGTGATAGTTTTTCAGATCATCTTCTTCTTTATTCTTCTGAAAGTTTACCGTGATAGTTTTTCAGATCATCGTCTTCTTTTTTCTTCTGAAAGTTTACCGTGATAGTTTTTCAGATCATCATCTTCTTTATTCTGAAAGTTTACCGTGATAGTTTTTCAGATCATCATCTTTTTTATTCTGAAAGTTTACCGTGATAGTTTTTCAGATCATCATCTTCTTTATTCTGAAAGTTTACTGTGATAGTTTTTCAGATCATCTTCTTTTTTCTTCTGAAAGTTTACCGTGATAGTTTTTCAGATCATCTTCTTCTTTATTCTGAAAGTTTACCATGATAGTTTTTCAGATCATCTTCTTCTTTATTCTTCTGAAAGTTTACCGTGATAGTTTTTCAGATCATCTTCTTCTTTATTCTTCTAAAAGTTTACTGTGATAGTTTTTCAGATCATCTTCTTTTTTCTTCTGAAAGTTTACCGTGATAGTTTTTCAGATCATCTTCTTCTTTATTCTGAAAGTTTACTGTGATAGTTTTTCAGATCATCTTCTTCTTTATTCTTCTGAAAGTTTACCCACTGTAAACTTCTGCAGAAAATTCTTGTTGTTCATCCACTTCTGGACTTTGCTCTTCTACCAGAACTCAAGTTGCGTGTGGCACATCCTTTTACAGATCTGACTTATTTGTATGCAGACTGTTGGTTCCTTACCTCACAGACAGATGCACTTTGAAGATAAAAGAATACGTGGTTGACTTTTACTACAAGCTTTTCAGGGTCCAGAAAGCAGTTGGTTTATTCTTTTTTTCCCCCTGTAAAATGGGACCCAGAACGGATATGAGGAAGGACATAAAAGCAAACCTTGCAAGTCCAGTGCCAACCCATTGGGCCATGCTGTGGTCTCAAAGCCCACTAGCGTCTCTCTGCCACTTCCATCCATGTTGGCTCTCTCAATTTGAGGAGAAGCACCCCAGTCTGACCAGTAGATTGTTCTGAACATGGAGATGACACAAATACAAACAGCTGTACATGGGGTTTAAAAAATAAAATAGTCTGAAATATTTGTACGGCTATTTTTAATGTCCAAATCAAATCTTCCATTCTGACATACTGAACATTGAGGATTTTTCTTTGATTCCAGTCAAACTCATAAATGCATTCATGTGAACAGGACATACACACACACAGACACACACATACATACACAGACAAACACTCTTATACACACACACACACACACACACACATATATATATATATATGCACGCACATATACACAAATCCAAAAAGTCTCAGATACACACAGACATACTTACAGACAAACACTTTATACAACATGTATAACCCTACCAAACACACAAACAACATAGACAGTAAAAGGATCTTTTCCTGTGCTTTAACTCTTTTGGAAACCAAAGAACACTAAAGTTAGTTGCATATTCTTTACAGGACATTGCAGAACCAACCCATGCACTTTTTGGCCATTGTGGTTTTTCAGGGCAAATTTTACTTTCAGTAGTTTGCCATTGCTTCCTAAATGCTCAGCTCTCGGTGCCACGGTCAAAACCAACGCAAGACAATTCGTCCGCAGCTGGGATCAAACCCGACACCTCAGCATTACGAAGCAAGTTTGCAATGCGAAAGCCGCAGGTGCTGACACTTACATTGTCAAAAATTATTGTTTCGTGGGCTCCTTGGTATCCAAATATTGAAAGCATAATGAGTAAATAGTTCTAATCCCATATATTTATAGACCAGTCATCACTCAGTGGTTCTCTTCATTTTCATCTTCTTCTTCTTCTTCTTCTTCTGTTTCTTCTTCTTCTTCCGTTTCTTCTTCTTCTTCTATTTTTTCTTCTTCTTCTTCTGTTTCTTCTTCTTCTTCTGTTTCTTCTGTTTCTTCTTCTTCTTCTTCTTCTTCTTCTTCTTCTTCTTCTTCTTCTTCTTCTTCTTCTTCTTCTTCTTCTTCTTCTTCTTCTTCTTCTTCTTCTTCTTCTTCTTCTTCTTCTTCTTCTTCTTCTTCTTCTTCTTCTTCTTCTTCTTCTTCTTTTTCTTCTGCTTTTTCTTCTTCTGCTTCTTCTTCTTCTTAGCATTTACCGGCTCTAGACTAATGCGAAAAGCTCTGATTGGTTGCTCTAATTGGAACTTTAGTCTTGCACATCTAGTTTACAAAGCTGGTTTATTTATAGACAGACTGTTGGTTCCTCGTTTCTCAGCCTCTTGACTTGAAGCTTGCTGTTCTCATGTAGTACACACTAGTTGTTGACTGATTTTGTTATATTCTTACCAGATGATCAAACTATTTGATTCTCTTATATACTATGAAATCATTTACTGTTACCAAAGAGTGCCTACAGTTGTTCTTAGTTCTTGATTGGTGTCTTGGTCTCTTCTTGTTTTTTTTTTTTCTACATTTCTTATACATCTCATTTCACATTTTATAATTTACCCTTCATTCATTCAGACAAAATGAGCTCTTTCAGTCATAGGTGGTTGTTGTATCATCACTTTTCTGTCCAAAAGTGTGTGCATTTTTTAAGTTCCTTTTGTTGCATTTTTAAAAAGAAGACTTACAAATGCTTATCTGAAATGTTCAGGGATAAAAGAATTAAGGGAGACACGGCACAACCCTGATTGCATGAGACAAGACAATCCATCCTTGACTGAGTGAAACTTGACTATATTACCACTGATTCTGTGAAACAAGACATACACCTTAAAATGAGAGATGACATAAACCTGATTGTGTGAAGCAAAACTTACCATGAAATAAGACTTACCCCTTATTTGGGTGAGAGATGACATAAACCTGATTGTGTGAAGCAAAACTTACTATGAAACAAGACTTACTGCTTATTAGGTAAAACAAGACTTACTCCTGATTGGGTAAAGCAAGACTCAACCTTGCCTGGGTGAGACAACACTTAACACTAACTGGGTGAGGCAAGACATACTCCTGACTAGATGAGGCCAAATTTAAACCCTGATTGGGTGAGACAACACTTATTCCTGACTGGGTGAGACAAGACTTACCCCTGATTGGGTGAAACAACAATGTCTCGTGGTTCATCTAGTGATGTCGTAATGATGTAAGTATACAGCTGGTAGTTGCGCAAACTGATGACACCAATGACATCAGTGCCAGTGTCAGTAAAAAACAACAACTTGTTGATATAGTCGGCTGCTAGCCCATCACACATGGAAGCTGTGAGGGAAACAAATACAGTGTTGTTTATATAAGGTTTGAACAATCAATCAACATCATGACACATGGGTAGTAATCCATAAGTGCTCAGTTCTTCCTCTAATTTAAGTCTGAGTCCAAAGAAGCTCAGCACAGTGCACAGGCTCTGTAGCACCGGTGAGGATCCTGAAATACTTTGGATAGATTTTTAACTAAAAATTTTGCCCGGGCAGCACCCTTAGTCTATTCTTTTAGATTTCCAATGGAGACCAGGGAGAATTACTAGAAGGCCAAGTCCACGTGAAAAGAATTCCAGCCTTTATTGGGGATTGAACCAGGAACCTCTAGCACTTGAGGTGGACACCATGCCTCAAGACCAAGCAGCTCCCTTTTTTGTTTATATGAAACACACACTAATGTTGGTAGTGCCAAGTATTCGTTTTGCATCAGTAATTTGTAACTGAACCTTGCATATGTAAGCAGCCATGTTGTATCTTTAAAAGCTACATTTTTTGTAGAGTGACAACCAGATTAATTCTTCTTCTTTCTTTTCTGAGTTCATTCTCAAAAAGGCGGCTGGCATACTGTTTTGTTGAAAAGGCTGGGATATCTGCATCTTTTAGCTCAACACATTGAATTTTCAGTGAACCCCTGATAAGTCACTCTGTAAAACATGCTTTTAGGGTGGGCACCAGTACCATGAAATTTAAAAAAAAAAACCTAATATTGGGGTCCCAGAACACATACTAACTAGGTAACCATTTTAGACTGGGACGACCTGAGAACCATAGGTTACCGCTACAAATCTACCCTGTTGCAGATTTGAACCCAAGAAATTTGGTCCAGCAGCAGCAGGCAGGTATCTAGCCACTGAGCTACTACAGGTCCTCTATCCAAGTAAAAGATATCATTAATGTACTGAGGATAACTTACCATTGTTCATAAGCATGACTGTCTTTTCATATCTGCCATCAATGGTTGCCTCCTTGATCACATTCGCTTTATTATCTGACCAAAACACCTTCAACAGAGACAAAAAAAAGTTTTATGATATTAATAACAAGAGTCTTATAAGTTCATCAAACAGTTAACAAAAAATAACTTTAAAGGTTTGGAAAAAGGCTAAAGAAAAAGTATAAGGCCCAAAAATAATACATCATAAATTTCCAAAAGAGACATTAATCTTTTTTTGTGTGTGTGGCTACACTACATAAGGGGAAAAAAACTGGAACATTAATAGCTTAAAATGTATGGGGGAAAAAAAAAGAAAAAGATAATAGGACAAGATTTTGGACAACCATAGATAAAGATATTGAAAGGTGTCAGAACATATAATGATACATATATCTGGGGACAGCAAGTGGTGAAGAAGCATGATAATTCACACCACAGGGTAAGACACTTGATGGCAATGATGATGATGATGAATAATTTCTAGAATAACTGAATGACCAACAAATATTTTTAAAAAAAATAGTTTATTTGATTGATGTTTAGATCTCTTTTTTTTTTTTTTGCTGTCTATGGTAACGCTTGTTTGCTCCCACTCCTTCTAGCGACCCGTTGTTTCAGGAATCAGGGCCTCCACCAGGCACACCAACCCAAACCAAATAAAAGCTGTCATTGAGCCAACACACACAAGGCCATTTTCAGGGTCCCCTTATTTTCTGCTAGTGGTAAATTGCGCACATGATGATAGACATATTTTTGGAAACCAATTGCCACTCAATAGGTGCTGTGCTCAACATCCCACCAACCACCTTTACCTCCCAGGACCTTACCTAGTACCCATTTTACCCATCTGACTCAACTGCATATTCAAACCATGCTATTACACATGTATAAATACAAACCTTGACTTCAAACGGGTCATAAGCCAGAGCAATAGGCTCGTGGTTTGGAGGTAGATCCACAGCTTCTACTGTGGCTGTTTTCAGGTTCACCTGGAAGATCTGTCTCTGGTAGGCATCATTGACCAGCAGGAAGTTGTCCATGACAGGGGCTGTAAGCACAAAACAGTATGAACTAATAGAGTCAAATAGTGTGAACTTCTTCTCCTTCTTCTTCTGCGTTCATCCAAAGATGTAATAGCATTGTGCTTGTCCAAAGCATTGCTGTGAAATTTGATCCTTTCGGCAGACACATCCAACTTCTGCAGGCATTTGTTGACAGGGTAAGCTTTCCCAGAAATGGCATAGACTGATCTATTTCACTTATCAAAAATCAACATAAACTAAATATAATAGGAAATAATATGAAACAGCCTTGGCTAGAACAGAATCTAATAGTTTGAGCAATAAGTTAATTTATTCCACCGATCATCCTTATGACACAAGTCCATAAATGCTTCAGTACTTCCCTCAGTGTGTGGCGACTGATAAAACCAGCTCTGTGTTCGTTTACTAATCTTCGTTGGTTACCTGTATTGTGTTTATGTTTGGCATTACCTCTTTTGACATCAAAATTGTGTAGTTTTGTCAAGGTTGTGGATTTGCAATCATTTCCTGAATCATTTACTCATCCAGCCTCCATGAAAGCACTGAAAACATCGACCTGGTCCAGCGCTTTTTTTTCCTGTCCCTACCATGGCACTGCCAGCAAGGCAATCCCTGGCTTCATTAACTGAAACCATGATACTTTCTCATAAAGTACCATCCTGCACAGCCTGAGTGGTCATGCTTGCCATCTCACACAATGATCAGTATCACAGATCAGGTCTGTGTTCATGTCATGCCCATACCATGTTGCCAAGCCATCAAGGCATTTATCTTTTTCACATTTTCTTGTGCTTTTTTTTTCTCATCACATCTGCAAGTTGTCATTCAGTTTTTAAGTTCCCTTTGTGAGTTCCGGGGCTCCATTGTTAGGGAAACAAGAATAGACCCACTGCCTGCCCAAAAGAGCTTCTTTCAGAGTCATAGTGCATCTGCCTGAGAGATGAGGAACCAACAGTCTGCATGTAAATGAGTCAGATCTGTAAAAAAGATGTGCATGCAACACTCAGGTTCTGAAACAGCACATAAATCCAGAAGTGGATGGACACCAAAACTTCCACCAGAGTTTATAGCTGGTGAATAAGAACAATAAGGAGAAGAAGAAGAAGAAGTTGTTAAAGTTTTCCTCATAACCTATCCTCCAAAATATGTTAACTTCCTGTCTTCTTTTTCAAGTCTGTGTATATTTTTCATCCACTTTTTGAGGATTGTGAGCCCCTGTGTGGTCTACAGATCGGAAGGTTGTGGGTTCATTCCTGATGAGGGCCATATTTTTTTTTTAAATGACCTTGGCTCCCAAGTTGACCCAGCCTTGAGTAGGTACCATACAGCCCTGGGAAGTAAAGGTGACCGGCGCGGTGCTGACCACATCACCCACTAAGTGCCATTTTGTCTATAAAATATAGGTCTAGCTCTATATACCCAATACACCTGAAAGGTTGGAAAAGGATCCTTTAATTTAGTTTACCTTTGAGGATTGCCTAGGTCCTTACCCACGTAGGACTGTAGGTTACACACAGGGTTACACACAGGGTTACACACAGGGTTACACACAGGGTTGGTATAACTGTTACAGGTGCCCTAATTTTGACTTCTTGAGAGGCTACTCAGAGTATCTGGAGCTGCCTTGTTGGTCTGTCAACCAGACTTGTTGAATGTTGAATGTAGAATTAAGAAACAACAGCATAGCACTCTGGACACTCCCAAAAGTGCTCAGTCCCCATCTTCAGCAGCAAGCAAAGAGTTCCAATTCTGACGGTGCCAGTAACCATTCCATTGTAATTTCATCTCATCCTTACCCTGAGTGTTGAGCGTCAGCCACATCCCTTGGTAACTTCTCGCAGCGCCATTCTCCTTAAACTATAATGATCTATCTGCGCCTCTGCACTGTTCACTCGCTTCCAAAGGGCCCTCACAATATCTAACTTGTCATACATCAATTCACCACAATGTGGTGCAGAGGAGATGTTATTATCTCAGGGTGATAAAAAAATTCAGATAGCATCGGACAGGGAATAAACTGAATGATCAATAAGACCATCTCATTTTTTTTTTTTTGGTCAGTTCACAATATTCTTTGCATTTTCTCCAAAACACTAAACATCTATTGAAATTATACGTTTCTCAGCTTGACTACTAATTGTCCATTTTTCACAGTCAGAATTAACTTGCACAATAATTAAACGTACTACATTAAAATAAAAAAAAAACATGCCCGCACGCACGCACGCACGCACATGCATACACACACACACACACACACAAACACACACACACACAAACACACACACACACACACCCACACAATAATTAAGGCACCCTTTCTTCATTCACCCTTAAGAAACAAATTTACAAAAAAAAAGTTGGAGGAGTGGGGGTTGGTACAATGGGTTGTGGTTTTAAATAGGCTGTGATAACTGTGCCTTTCCACCTGACACATCTAATTCAGGAAACTTTTTACAATATGCTTGTCATGGGGGAGGGGGTCTATTCCCTACCCCAAATGGGTGCCACAGAACCTACAGGAGGAATTCAAATAAAAGAACAATTCCTTCCCACACAAGCATACACATATGTAAGCATTTGCAGCACTCACTCTCCATGAAAAGCCTACACACACAGGAACTGCAAGTAAACCCATCTAGCGACACTGGGTTGTGGTTTACATAAGGATGTGGTTGACACTGGGTTGTGGTTTACATTAGGATGTGGTTGACACTTTGTTGTGGTTTACATTAGGATGTGGTTTACATTAGGATGTGGTTTACATAAGGATGTGGTTTACACTGGGTTTTGGTTTACACTGGGTTGTGGTTTACATTAGGATGTGGTTTACACTGGGTTGTGATTTACATTAGAATGTGGTTTACACTGGGTTGTGGTTTACATCAGAATGTGGTTTACACTGGGTTGTGGTTTACATTAGGAGGTGGTTTACATTAGTATGTGGTTTACATTAGGATGTGGTTGACACTGAGTTGTGGTTTACATTAGAATGTGGTTTACATAAGGATGTGGTTGACACTGGGTTGTGGTTTACATTAGGATGTGGTTGACACTGGGTTGTGGTTCTCAGCTAGGTTGTCATACCTGCGCCTTTTGACCTAACGCATCAAGTTTCAGGAAACTTTTTTGCAACATGCTTGTTAAGGACAGTAGGTCTATCTCCTCTCCCACAAAAATACACACACATAAGCATATGCAACACTTTCATTCAACCTACACTTACAGGAACTGCAAGTAAAGCCATCCAGCGAGAGTTCATACCCAGCCCCACAGAAACACCTGGATGTGTTTGCCTGGGATATAAGACAGAGCTGAGAACATGGTGACTGGCCCTCCATGCAGGTGTCTGTGGATAGATTTGTATATAATTTATTTATTCTCTGTGAAGAAAAGCCAAAGTTGCTGGACTTGATTCCATCTATCTGTCATACATCAGTTCACCACCAAGTGGTAAAGAACCAGCCAGTCTATCCACCTACTCATTTCCCAACACACCGGCATGAAGTCATGTGTGTACAACTGAGTCTCAAGCCAGCCGAAGGTAGCTGTGACTGCCTCCACCTCCATACTCAAACTAGACATTGTGATATCATATGCCAGGCTTTGCTGCACCAAGTGACGTCCATTTGCCTTCTTTATAAACACCTATGCACTTCATCTGCCCCTCAACACAGAACCATCTGTATAGACTATCACATCACCTGGGCAGGAATTGCCATGAATCACCTGTTGAGCTTCTAATTCTGCAGCACCAGCTGGCCAGTCCCTGCACTCAAGACCCAAAGTAATTAGAACCCTACACAAGTCTGAAACCTGTTTGCACAGCATAGAACAGAATGGAGAAACAGACTGTGGGCCCTGTGTGACATATAATGGCACACACAGGACAATGAATAAATAAATCATGATGTCATTGCTGATCTGTTTGTAACAATGGTGAAATGCATTTCTAATGTCAGACTGTTTGTGTTAGCACATTTGATGGCTGCCTTATGCTTTAAACTGTGTGTGTATTTTTGTAGAAGTCCTGAGACAGCAGTTTTGTCAATGTTTTCACAAGGAACAGTGATGAACATTCTGTGTTGCTGAGCAACTATGGGGTGATCCTTTGCGAATATTCTTGTGTACTTTCATCCTCTTTCTTTCTTCCTTCTTTTTTTGTTGTTGTTGCTTGCTTTCTTCTTCTATTTTAACTTCTTGACTGGTCAAGCCAGCACGCGGAAAGCTAAGAGAGAGGGAAAAAAGTCAGGGGATGGGCTGCCGAATAGTTTCTTGTGGTACAGTTCAGCAGTTATATGGTGCTAGATATAAATTTCCATAATAGTTAGATCTGAATTTTCTCAAGTAGTTAAATGGTGTAGAGCTAGATTTATACATGCTTCATTGCTTGGAGAAATTAGGTTGCTGGGAGCAAATTTTCATCTTTGTCAGGTGAAGTGTTAGCACATGTGTGTGTGTGGACACTATGTTGGTTGCTGATGTATTGTTATGTATTGTGCAGTATGCTAGTTTTGTGTTCAGTAAAATAAACAGATGTTGAATGTGATGGTTATATTCATTTGCTTGATTCAAGATAGAACTAGTAACACAATTTGTGTAACACAATTATTCACACATTCTTTGTCTGGGCTATGATCATATTTCATGGCCCATGCACAGATGAACTCTTGTCTTTTCTTTACTTTTCCTGTTTTTGCTGTCAGCGGGGAACTGCTTATTTGTCCTTACCAAATTTTCTTTTTCATCATCTCCCTACTTCGTTTTTTTTTTCTTTTCCTTCTCCTCGCTAGCACAAATTGGTGCCCCACATTGGGTGCTGGGTAGGATTTCCCTAGAGCAGCTGCGGGGTCAGAATGCGGAAAGCCATATAGACTGTTTTTCTGGTGTGTCTGCCTTTTATCAACTTCATGAACCTGCCAGATTTTTGTTCGCTTGCTACTGAATATAGGGACTGAGCATTTATGGGAGTGTTCTTCTTCGTCATTGCTTCTAATGACATAAACACAGGCTACAAAATGTTTATTAATGGCATGAAAACAAAGATTTTTAAATGGCAGACTCTTTGATACATCTTGTCTATTATTATTAAATATTCAAACTAAATGTTAAAATATTTTCAAATTTTTCAAAAACAATTAGTTAGTTTTTCCTCTTGAGCCTAAGGTGGCACATAGAGCAGATGTCATAGCTCTTCATGTCTGGCAGTTTTTTGCCTCCTGATTTAGGTCTTGGATATTCATTAGGCCCATAGTTGAGACTTGCCTGAGTTTCTCTTGGTCTTCATTTTCATTTCCCTCCGGTGTCCATATAAGGGCTTGATAAGGGAGTCTTGTCTTATCCATTCTGAGTGCATGCTGATATAATTCCAACGGCACTTTCTTATAAAATTTGAAATCCGAAATCTGTCCAGACTAGATTCAGTACTCTTCTGAGACATCTGTTCTCAAAATTGTCAAATTTTTTCATCAACAGCTACTGTTGCTTTTCAACTCTCGCATCCATAAGTTAGTTGTGGAATCACACAAAAGTTGAAGATCTTAATTTGTATGTGTTTGCTGAGTGTCTGACTTCCAGATGTTTGACAGTTTGGAAAAGGCACTAGATGCCAGTGTGATTCTAAATTATATTTCTGGCACTGAATTCCCTGAGGATGTCATCTTACTCCCTAGGTATGTAAAGCTGTTGACTTTTTCAAGGATGTTAATGTTTAGTTTGATATTCTCTAAACTGTTGGTAAGATCAATAATTTTTGTTTTTGCTGTGTTAATTTTAGAGACCAATTTGTTCTGAAATATTTTGGAGAAGGTCTGTTTTCTCTTGGATGTCTGGGTGTGTTCAAAAACAATACTATCATCAAACATTGTAAAAAAAAAAAAAAAAAGTAAAGATCCCTTTTCACGCCTTTCGGCGCATCGGGCATATGGGCAGAGCGTCCCATATTTTTACAGACCATCAGCACTCTGTGGGTAATGTGGTCAGCATTACGCCAGCTGTCTTTACTTTCCCAGGACAGCCCATCCTGGTACCCATTGTAAAGTTATACATTAAATCTTGTACAAAATCTATCCATCCACTCCATATTTACATGTCATTTGATAACATAATTATTATGTGATATAAACTAAATGTTTACTCTTGTTTGATAATTTTGGAATAAATTTATATTCAGTGAATCTACATTATTTTCGCAAAAATATTTTTGGCCTTAAAGTTACCAGGTATAAACAAAACAACCAACTCACTGTTAAAACTTGGCTGGTTCTGAATATCAAAAGTGATGAGATCTGCAGCCAGTCCATTTCTGGGGTGAATGATACCCCTCACTTTCTCTTTTTTATCCATACGAGCAATATGGATACCATTGAAGTCTTCAGTGTCTGTCCACAGGATAAAGTCCTGAAAACAAGAAAAGTGACCAGATGTCAGCAGTATCGAATTTAATTGCCGCAGTGATTACTTCTTCTTCTGTATCTTCTTCTTCTTCTTCTTCTTCTTCTTCTTCTTCTTCTTCTTCTTCTTCTTCTTCTTCTTCTTCTTCTTCTTCTTCTTCTTCGTCTTCTTCTTCTTCTTCTTCCTCTTCTTTTTTTCTTCTTTTTTTTTCTTTTTTCTTTTTTTTCTTCTTTTTTTTTATTTTCTTCTTTTTCTTTCTTCTTCTTTTTCTTTTTCTTCTTCTTGTTTTTCTTTTTTCTTGTTATTCTTCTTCTTCTTCTTTTTATTTTTTTCTTGTTATTCTTTTTTTTCTTCTTGATTTTTCTTTTTTCTTGTTATTCTTCTTCTTCTTTTCTTCTTCTCCTTCTTCATCTTCTTTTCTTCTTCTTCTTCTTCTTCTTCTTCTTCTTCTATTTCTCCTTTTGCTGCTGCATTTGCCCTTAAAAAGGCAGTTAGCATGCTGTGTTGTGGTTTACCTCTAGACTGCAACACCTGGACTTTTTGGCCCAACACATTCAGTTTCAGCAAACCCTTAATTAGTCACTTTGTTATGGCTGGCTTGTTTTGCAGGCAGTTGGTCTATTCCATACAAAAACAAAACAAATATGACTAAAAGGATTTCAGTAATTACAGCCAATTATCAATTTGCTACATTGGCCTTTAGGGAAAGTAAAGAACTGTAACACTATAGTCTATAAGCGGGTGGTGTAAATATGACCACATTACCCACCTAGTGCTGAAATGGTCTGTAAAAATATGGGTGCTCTTCTCATATGCCTGATGCGCCTAAGGCGTAAAAAGGGATCTTTTCCTATTTTCCATAAGGAGACTTCAAGTGAAAAACTTAAAAGTATGACATCAATTACAGTAATCATGCCCTAGTCTTTTAGCCTGTCAATATTATTGTTAAGATGTCAAGAGTGGGAAGCATCAGACATCACTGTGAATATGAACAAGGTCACATCATAATGACATTTCAAAGATCGATGACCACCCTGCTTTCAACATGCACCAAAGAGGAGCAGCATTCAGCTATCCATTTTTGGGTCAGTGAAAGGGGGAAACCCATCGAAATTCCATCTGCAAATGAAAGTCCAGTAGAATGATGCATGTGGAGTGAAGTAAGAGTTTTCAAAATGATGTGATTCCTGTGACACATGGTTCACGACTTGATAACTTGTAGGCTTTGGTCTTGTTTCAGAACTTGAGTTTGTGCTTACATTTTTTTCCCACAGATCTAGCTTATTTGTGTGCAGACTGTTGGTCTACACCTTCCAGACAGAAACACTCCTACTTCAAAGGAAAGAAACCTTAATTAGCTGCCCTTTACAAAATTCCCCATTTGGGGCAGTGGGTCTATTCCCCTCTCCCTCACCCCCCTTCCCCCCAAATTTGGACCCCTGATCCCACACTGGGAGGCTACAACAGATGAAATGGGGTTCTGGTTCCTTTCCTTATACCTTTTATTTATAGACAATTTCCAGGAAATTCTAAAAATTGTATGTACCAGTGTCTGAAACTATTTGATGCCATTAATTAATTCAACAGTTTTTGAAGAATATGCTCACCTTAAAGAATGACAAACCATAGAATTTCACCATAGACTGTTCATAGACAACTGTAATTCTTCCTGTAGCAAGATCCAACTGTCTCACATGGTTGAGGAGGGAGTCGGCCCAGTACACTCTGATCAGATAACATGTCACAACTCAGGTAACTATATGGCTGAGCAGAATGTCAGATAACATTTGCATAGTTGAGGAGTGTGCAAGCCTAATTCACTCTGAGTAAATAACATGTGACAGACCAGGTATCTACACCACTAAACAGAGTGTCAGATAACATTTACATGGCTGAACAAAGAGTCAGATAACGTTTACATGGCTGAACAAAGAGTCAGATAACTTTTATATGGATAAACAAAGAGTCAGATAACATTTACATGGAGAAACAAAGAGTCAGATAACATTAACATAGTTATGGAGTGTGCAAGCCTAAATCACTCTGACTAAATAACACGCGACAAGCCAGGTATCTACACCATTGAACAGAGAGTCAGATAACATTTACATGATTTGTATTCCATACTCCATTGGAATATCAAGAAGGCAGCTCATTGTCCTGCATGCTATATTTCTTGTACACCAAAGTATAATGAGCATAGCCTCATTGTGTATACTTTCCATCCTCTCTATGTACCTATGTCTGCAAATTCAGGAATACCATCACATACTCAAAAAAAAGAGAAAGGCCCAGAACCTAATACAACTCACTACCATCTATTTTAGCACTTTTTAGGGTAGTTTAAACAGGGAGTTAGAGCCTAAGGATTTAGGGCCATTCTGGTAGTGCTGTAGCCAAGGACTGTGCAGGTAAGGATGCTTAATTTTGCCCCCCAACAGAAAAACTTCATCACCTTACTGAAGATTCAAGGCCTTTCCGCTAGGGCTGTGGCCAAGGACTGTGCAGGTTAGGATGCTTAATTTTGCCCCTCAACAGAAAAACTCCATTAACTTACTGAGGGTCGAACCTGGGTTTCCTACATGAGAGCCAGACATTACCACTTGGCTAGACACTTCTCAGATCCTGATATAGAAGACATAAATAACGCTGCTCACAGTTTGCCATTGCCATCATTCTCATCGTAGCCAAGCCACCGCTTTTCTTTTATAATTGATAGTCCTTTCAATATCATGGATGCAATCCAGGCCAGCACTTTTAGCCTCTCTCATCAATGTTCATTTAGGAGTTTCTCTTGTGCCCTAATTTCTGAATCCATGTTTTTCATTTCAGTGCCTGTTTGGTGATTCTCTGCCAGCTTTTCCCCCAGGATTAGCTCAAATGAAGTACCACCTTCTTTTTCTTGTAACTTCTGGTTTTTCCTGACATTTCTTTTCCAGCCATGGATTAACAGCAATTAATTGTGCAATCTGCTGCTTCAATCTTCTTTAAATTAAAAAGAATGGAGGTGGAGGCGGTAACTGCAGCTCTCCGGTGGCTGGAGAACAAGTTGCATAAACATGTCGTAATTGTAACAGACTCTGAAAGCATGCTGAGAAAGGTGATGACAGAGATGGTTCGAGCAGAGTGGCAAGCTTCACTGGGAAAGTCACGGGTAGTGAGCATACTTTGGATCTGCACCACTGGGTGGTGAATTGATACATGACAAGGCAGATGTGGTCAAGGCACTTTGGGGACAAGCACCGGATTCAGTAGAGAAACAAGATTATTGTGGCCTAGAGAGAATGAGGCACCTAGGTGTAACCAGAGGGTCTGGTTGGCTCACTACACTTAGAGGAAAGGCAAGATGCAAATTTAACCAGATTTTGACCAGTACTATCAGTGTTGGAACTCTGTGCTGGCTGCTGAAGATGAGGACGGAGCATGCATGGGAATGCCCCAAGTGCTGTTATGTCAATTCTTGACTCAGCTAAATTAAAAATGCAGTTCCAAGTTTGAAAAAAAAGTGCAACTAAAACCAGTTTATTAAAACTGGAAGTGTACTTACAAATCTTTCTCATAGTCAATGTATAGGTGATTTGGTTCTCCTATATTGTCTGCCATTACAATTTCTCGACCTGTGCCATCCATACTGGCTCTCTCTATTCTGGCTCCAATATCTGGAAGGTGCCCATGATCAGTCCAAAAGATTTGCCTGTTAGGATGTTGATAGTTTCATAAAACAAACAGAAAATAACGAATGTATCTTCCAACATTATAAGTATGCTTGAGTGAATGTTCAAGTATGAATACTTCTGTATGCTCCCTTGCACACACACTCTCTTTCTCTCCTTACTCTATCACTTTCTCTCTCTCTCTCTCTCGCCCCACCCCCCACAAGCATGTATGGACACACACACCTTCTCTTCACTCTCTTCACACTCTCTCTCTCGCCCCCCCCCCCCCCCTACACACAAGCATGTATGGACACACACAATTTTTTTTTCACTCTCTTCACACTATCTCTCTCTTGCCCCCCCCCCCCACCCCCTCCCCCACAAGCATGTATGGACACACACACCTTCTCTTCACTCTCTTCACACACATCTCTCTCTCTCTCTCGCCCCCCCCCCCCCCCCCCCCCCCCCCCCCCACAAGCATGTATGGACACACACACCTTCTCGTCACTCTCTTCACACTCTCTCTCTCGCCCCCCCCCCCCCCAAGCATGTATGCACACACACACACACCTTCTCTTCACTCTCTCTCTCTCTCTCTCGCGCCCCCCCCCCACCCACCCCTTTCAAATGCACACATATGCACACATTCTCTCTCTCTCTCTCTCTTGCTCTCTCACTCTTCCCTTGTTAGGTTATATTAAAAAGTAATTTACTTGTGTAGGTTCTGGGGCTGCATTTTGGGTGAAATAAAGAATAAACCACACTGCCCTTCGATAAGCATGTCACAAAGGCAACTAATTAAGGGTGTTTCATTTGAGGTCAAACTGCATTTGCATGAGAGGCCAGGAAGCAATGGTGTGCATACAAAAAAGCCAGATCTGTAAAATAGATGTACATGCAAAGCTCAAGTTTTGGAAGCAGACATAAATCCAGACTGGCATGAACAATCAGACTTTACAGCTGACAAACGCTACGAAGACTAAAAGTGTTTAGGAAATTGCAAGAAACAGGATGCATAATAGCTAACATTTTCTAAAGATGGTTGCTGACTGTATGATTCTGTCTGTCTTTTCATTCTATCCACTATACATACCCACTGACTGTATGATTCTATCTTTGTATTCATTCTGTCTATTAAGTATACTTGCTAACTGTAGGATTCTGATCTTTCTACTATGTAAGCTTAAGTGTAAGATTCTGTTCTTTCTATTACATAAGCCTGAATGTAGGATTCTGATCTTTCTATTACGTAAGCCTGAATGTAGGATTCTGATCTTTCTATTACATAAGCCTAAGTGTAGGATTCTGATATATCTACTATGTAACCCAGCTGATTGGACAGTGTACTTACCCTCTTCCAGGATGCACTGCAATACCCACAGGATGAGTCAGGTTTTCCATAATTGTCACCTGATATGCTCCAGATTTCCTGGCCACTTTAATGACACCGTTAGTGCTATCTGTCCAATACAAGTTTCCAGCCACCCAATCTAGAGCCATACCTTAGATTGTTGGCATAAAAATATGTTGTATACATGGCTTTGCAAAAATCACTTTTACATGTCATTATACAATAGCTGGGATATGGTATTAGGGTTGTACTTTAGACCTCCAAACAGTACTTTAAAATTTCAGCTGACATTTACACTATCAATGCCAAACACACACAAGGAGTAGGGCACTAGAAAAGAAGATAACTACCTGCAAAATGTGCTGTCTCTATAAAGTCACTGACAGAACAAGAAGAGACAAGGTTATGAATACCACCATTAGAAAAAGAGAGTTGCAATAAGACCGTGTCTGAATTATACTGATTGACATAGAGTGGAATGGTCTCACCATCTAGTGAGCATGCAGCCAGACCAAACTGCATATGAGATTTGTTTACAACAGAACATCTGGGAGGAAAGCAAGGAGAAGACCAAGAAAAAGTATAGATAAACGATGCAGCTGAAACCCACAAAATTATGAATAATCCATCACCCAAGTTGTCCTAGAAGCACAAGACATATACAGAAAACCATGACACTGGACTACAACTTGGTAATAGTGAGACTACAGAAAGAAGATTTTCAGACCATGTTGCTCACAGTTTAAATTCTGTCTACATAAAATAAACACAGAATGTTGTGCATTGTTACAGCAATGCACTAAACTGATTTCATCCAGATTTCATTCCGACAAAAAAAAGACATGGTCACAAATCTACATTTGCCCTCATTTTGCTGATTTAGTATGTCACTTGTAAGGAGTGTTTTATATGCTACACTGTATTCAGTTGTTACTGTAGTATGCATGTGATGAGACACAGTACAATATGCCAGGCAAAATATTGTGGAATCTACTGTTTCTGTCTTCCCTGTTTAAATTTCAACTGGAAAACCCTGCTTTGAACTACAATTACATTTCTTGGCTGCAAAGTTACTGTTTGAAATACAACTACATTCTAATTACTTTATTGTATATACAGATGGCTCTGTGTTGAGAGGCAAACAAAGTGCATGGGGGTTTATAGCGAAGGAGAATCAACAAATCCTGGCATCTGGTATCACAAAGTCTAGTTTGAGAATGGAGGTGGAGGCAGTCACTGCTGCCTTCCACTGGCTTGAGAATCAGCTGTACACACATGACGTTATTGTCACAGAACATACTGAAAAAGATGGAGACAGGCATGCTCTGTGCAGAGTGGCAAGCATCACTTCAAAGGTCCCAGCTAGTTAGCATCCTTTGGATATTTTCTCCAGGTTCATGCTGGTGTGTTGAGAAATGAGCAGTCATTGAGACTGGCTGGTTCTGCACCTCTTGGTGGTGAATTGATGTATGACAAGCTGGATGTTGTGAGTGAGGGCCCTCTGGGAGTGAGTGAACAGTGCTGAGGAACAGATAGATCAGTACGGTCTGGGGAGAATGGCACTGCGAGGAGTTAAAAGGAAATCTGGCTGACGCTTGACACTCAGGGGAAAGGTGAGACAGATATACAAATCAGACATCAGAATATGAACTTGTTGCTTGCTGCTGAAGATGAGGACAGAGCGCTTAGGGGGGTGTCCCAACTGCTGTGATGTTGATTCTTAATTCAATATTCCCATTACTTTGAAAACATTTTATAAAATACTAGTACATTTTATCAACTACAGACTATTTACCTTTGACGACCCCTGTACTCCCAGTGATAACCTTGCTCTTGCCACCCAATTCAAGGGGGAGGCGACTGATGGTTTTCGTGTTGTTTCCAAAGTAGTAGATCATATTCTCCCGAGCATCAAATGTCAAGGTCATATAACCCTGAAATAGGTAAAGACTTTTTGTAATAGTATTTCCTGCATGTATTGTTCTTTTAGAGGAGCGGCTGGCCGAGTGTTTGAGAAGGCCGGTTTCTTATGTGGGAGACCCAGTTTGAATCCTTAATAGGGTCATGGATTTTTTTCGGGTCAAGAGACAAAATAAATCTTAAACCTGTACAGTCCATGGTATCTGCACTAGCCATGCAGCCCTAAATGCTCAGTCTCAAGGACCCCATCCTTTTTCCTTTCCAGCCTTCACTGCAAAATTGGTCAATGCAGGTTATATTGGCAGTTTTTTTAATTATCTAAATCATATTCATCACTGAGTGCCTTGCTTACTAATAGGAGAGATCATATTGTGCTTAAAAACATTAAATACTCTAAACAGTGAAAAGGCTTGTGTGTGTGTGTGTGTGTGCGTGAGTGTGTGCGTGCGTGTGTGAGTGAGGGCGTGCATGCATGTGTGTGTGCGTGCGCGCACACACACTCTGTATTGTTTAACTGTGTCTACACTATGATTAAAAAAAAACTTTACTACGATTGTATATACATTGTAACAGAAAAGGCATAACTATAATTGTATGCTACATTGTGACAAATGAGACATAACTACAATAGTGCTATACAGTGACAAATGGGATTTAACAACACTTGTGAGCTACATTTAACAAAAACGATATAACTACAGTTGAATGCTACACTGTGACAATTGGGACACAACAACACTTGTGAGCTACATTGTAACAAATAGGATATAAGTACAGTTGAATGCTACACTGTGACAAATGGAACACAACACTTGTGAGCTACATTGTAAAAAGTAGGATATAAGTACAGTTGAATGCTACACTGTGACAAATGGGACATGACTACAAATGTATGGTACATTGTGGCAAATATGACATAAAAACAAATGTGTGTCACACTTTGACAAACGGGTAACAACTACAATTGTGTACTACACTGTGACAGATGGGACATAACAACAGTGGTTTGCTGCATTATGACAAATGGGACATTACTACAACTGTATGCTACATTGTGATGAATGGGACATAAAAAAAAATGGGGGCTACATTGTAAGAAAGTGGTCATAACTACAGCTGTGTGCCATACTGTGGCAAATGGGACATAATTATAATTGTGTGCTATACTGTGGCAAATTGGTCATAACTATAATTGTGTGCTATACTGTGGCAAATGGGACATATTTACAATTTTGTGCTGCATTGTGACAAATGGGAGATAACTGCAATTTTTGCTTATCATAGTCGTCCCCATGTGGGATGCAATTTTTCGTTTTTTGAAGTCCCACCCTGGCTTTTGCCGGGGACCCTAAATATAGCCGGGCCTTAAATATGGCTTAACAGCTGAACAGGGTTTCTGGGACCCTTCCACGGGTGATCCTCATCCACATAGTGGTACTTTGTGTCACCAGGTGTTTATCACTTTGTGTGATGTCTTATGGGGTACAACTTAATACATACACACAATTTATGCTAGATCTTAACAAATGAGATATAACTGCAATTGTGTGCTAAACTCTGATGAACTGGACATTTTTACAGTTGAGGGACAAGTGGGACATAACTTTAGTTATATGCTACAATGTGATAAATGGGACATAACTAAAATTGTGTGCTACATTGTTACAAATGGGGCATTACTATAATAGTATGCTAAACTGTGACGGATGGGATATAAACTACAACTGTGTGCTACACTATGACAAATGTGACATTAATTACAACTGTGAGCTACATAATGACACGTAGGACATAACTACAGTTGTGTGCTACATTGTGACAAATAGGAGAAACTAGAAATCTATGCTACACTATGAGCATCGGCCATAACTACAATTCTATCCTATATATCATGCTGGCCCCTTCTAATTCCCATACATTTCCTGATAATTATTTAAGACTGGGTTGTCCTAAGAAATATATTACCTGTCTAAAGGGGGTTTAAATACCTGACTATCAGGTCAGCAGGTGAGCACTCTTGATGTGTGCTATGACTGCTTCAAAAACACTATAAATACTGTCATTTGCATCTGTATTTACCACCTTTAAGAGAAGTGTAGAAAGAAAGGGGGAGGGGGGGGGGGTCATGAGCCTAAGGATTTAGGGCCACATGGCTAGTGCTGCTGCCACGGACTGTGCAGGTCAGGATGTTTAATTATGCCTCTGACAGGAAAACTCACTTTACTTGGGGAGGGGTGCTAAGGTCAAATCTGGGTCACCTGCATGAGAGCCAGACACTGTAACCCCTTGGCCAGCCACTCCTCCATACTGTATATTACTATAAGTAAAGTATAATAAAGGAGCCTTTTCACCTCAATGAGGAGCGGCTGGGCGAATGGTTAGAATGCTAGGCTCTCAAGCGGGAGACCCAGGTTCAAATCCTTTGTAAGGCTGGGGATTTTTTTCTGTCAGGGGCAAAATAAAATCCTCACCTGCACAGTGGTGGCGACAGCACTTGCCATGTGGCTGTAAATCCTCAGGCTCAAAGACCCTTCCCCCCCCCCCTGCCTACACCGCAAAAGTGCTATATTAAAGGCAGTTTTTTATCTTTGGAGCATCTGGTATACAGTAAAGAGCAATGCTTTCTTCTAGAAACAAAAAAGTTTGCCTGTACCTACCCCAAAATGTATATAAACAGGTGATGTTACTCAAAAGAAAGTATCTATTACAATAGTGCTGAAAAATGTGTAGCCTTACAAAAGGTGCCAGTATTGTATGTATATCATTGCATACCACCAGAAAAACAGCTCTGGTAAAAAGTAAGTAAAGTAAAGGACCATTTGCAGGACAATGGTTTATCAGGCATATCATGCCAGACTCGTATTTTTTAAAGACTAGTCTGCAATCGAGCCACCTTTACTTACCAGTGCATTAACTAGTACTTATAAGCTGGGTCAACCTGGGAGCCAAAGTAAAATTTTTTTTTAAAATTCACCCCAATAGAGATTTGAACCCTTGACCTTTGGGGCAGCAAACACATCTAACTGCAATGCTATCATGGTTTCCTTAAATTGCTATAATTATCTGTTATATTTTGCTATTCTAAAATTTTACCACAGAAATGCAACTGAATATGCTGTTGTGGAAGGCTCAGTGGCTGGACTAAAATGTAAAAAAAAACAAAAACAACTGGAACATGGAACACGAGGAGTCTATGCCAAGAAACCTCCAAGAAGGTGAATACAAGACACTGATGATGTGTTGTTATGAAAGCACACATAGCTGGAGAACTGGCAAGAGCAAGAGAAATTTGCAGGTGTGATGAAAGCAATGATCTTTAAATGATCTGCTGACTGATGATGAACATCTTACCTGTCTGTCTTCCAAAAAGCACTGCGAATCCAAAGTCACATTGGTCAAGGACATGTCGGCCAAGTTGGCCGGGTACTGGCAGATGGAATCTCTGATAGCATAGATGTGGGATGGATGGACAAATTTCAAGGAAGCTGCATAGAAAGTTATATAGATTAGTAGTTTTCATGTCAACTGTGTATTTATTATTGATATTAGTTGATGTAACTCTGTAGTTGAATGTTGAATTAGGAATCGACATCACAGCACACTCAGGACACCACCAAAAGTGTTCCATCCCCATCTTCAGATGCAAGTGAAGAGTTAAAATTATGATTGTATTGTAACTGTGTAGTAACCTGATGTAACCTCTGTAAGTAGCTCATGAGATACAGCAAAATAGGCCAGGAAATAAATTTAGCAATACATTGTTTCTGTCAGCATTATTTAAATTTACAATGGTAAACACTGTTTTTTTAAATGTCATATATCTGTAACTTGAAAATACAATGCTTAAATGAAAGCTATTCCAAAATCATCCTCAAATTTGCTGGTAAAAATAGTAAAAAAAAAAAAAAGTAAAGATCCCTTTTCACGCCTTTTGGCGCATCGGGCATGGACTCTGTTCCTACCTTTTCGACCAGCTGTGAAATGTGTGGTATCATTCTTTTTCTTTAAGCAGAATGAGTATCCATCCACAGTTTTGACTGTTCCTTCATCTCTGTATTCATGAAGTGAAACCTGGTCTTGTCCCTAGTCCCTATTCCGTCAATAAATGCATCCCCATATTCCAGAAAAAATGTCTAAGCTAAGTCCATTCTTTGAGCTTTTTGAACGTCAGTCAGTTGCTTCGGTACCCACCTTAATTAAAAATTGTGGTAACCTAACCTGTCTGTGACAATTCAAAAAACAGACTAGTCCTGACAATTTCAAACAGACTAGTCCTAGAAATTTATAGAAATTATGTAGAAAGATCTGAAATAGTGAAATGGTGCTTTTCTACTACAGCTTGGTCGACTGGTTGAATAAGCTTATCTCACACATGAATGTTGTCCTTGTCTACCCTCATCATGCATATCTTTATGCCTATCTGAATTTCCTACACCAATCCCTAAAAAACACTGTCCTTCATAATATTATCATCCTACATATGACACAAGTGATTAGGAATCTTGACGGTATTTTGATCTTATTCTTGAGAAAAAATGAATTACACCATGAATTTCACAGCTGGCAAGACAGGCAATAAAAGTGTCCATGTTTATTAAATCACTATTCATGAACCATTGAAAAATGTGACTGTAGGTTGATGCGCAGTGAGTTAAAAGTGCTGAATGATGCAAGCAATGAATAGTGTCACTATGGTAAACAATTTAGTTTTACCAGCAAATCAGAGACTGATTTTGTGGTAGACCTCAGAATTATTTACTATGTTTATTGTTTATTTCTCCCTTGGATGTTTACTTCTATATCTTTTTGAGACTGGTAAAGTTAAATGGAACACATAGCCTTATCTGCACATATTCCACATGAGCCCTTCCTTCACACTGTCAACTTACGTTTGCAGGACATACTGAGTTCATCCTCAGGCACATATCCTTCCCCACATAAACACCTGGCTCCTGTCAGTGGGTCCAGGACACACAGCTGCTCACACCCCAAATCCTCACACTCGGCTGGTAATGTCAAAGAACAAAAATGTGAATATCAGTACAATCATATGACTTGGACTTCATATATTACTGAGTTCACCCTTACGCAACTGAAAGTCTTCTTCTCATTCTTTGTGTTCACCAGCTGTAAACTCCAATGAAAAGTTCTGGTTGTTCATCCCCTTCTAAACTTTCATCTTATTCCAGAATTAAAGTTTTGCATGCACATCCATTTTACAGATCTGGCTTATTTGTATGCAGACTGTTGATTTCTCCCCTCTCAGGAAGATACTCTCTGACTTCAAAGGAAACACTCATAATTAGTTGCCTCTTATGACGTACTTGTTAAGGGGAGTAATGGTTCTATTCTCCTCTTTAGTCACTCCCATACTGTCAAACCTAAGAGGTCCTGTATAGTTGATGTTCATTAGATATTTTCTCAGGGTATGCAGAAGTGTTGGGATATTAACAGGCAGACAGACTGGATGGTTCTGCACCAATGGGTAGTGAATGTATGCATTACAAGCTAGCTGTGGTCAAGGCCCTTTGGCAGCAAGTGAACGATGTGGATGCATGAATGCATTATGGTCTGCAGAGAATGGTACAGCTTGGAGTGACCTAGGGATCTGGTCAACACTCTACACTTAGAGAAAAGGAAAGAGGGACATATATAATCAAATTGTTACTGGCAACATCAGGATTCCAAGTGTCTTGGCTGGCTGCTGAAGATGAGGATGGAGCATTTAAGGAAATGTCCTGAGTAATGTGATGTCAGTCCTCAGCTCAACACACTCTACCAAACTTTGCTACAAGAAAGGCAAATTCAATAAATCATATGTAGTCCCTACAATGAAGTTTGGCTTTAATGGATCTCAAACAAATACTGTCTTTGAGTTTGAAATACAGATACAGCAATCTAGAGGAGTACATTCCCATAGATCTAGATGGAAAACTACAGATTCAGGCATCATCTTTCTGACATGCAGAATAGTGTCCTCAAGCTAGTGCCAGTGTATTTCAGTTCTCAAGTTTACCAAGGTGTCTTTGAGGTGGAGATTATGACCATCGGGTCTAGCCATTCAAGAGACAGAGCCAGCAAGTCTCTTGAGAACTGCCATATCTAATAGGCTTCAACTTGCCTTAGGGACTTATTCAGCAAAGCTATTTCTAATATTCATTTTTTTAGATAAGACCTTTGCCTGCCACAATTTATTCTGATAGAACTCCTTTGCTGTATTCACGTGTGTGTCAGAGCTTCAACTGACCAGAGAGATGTGTGGGTTTCTCATGAAGAGCTATTTTAAGTCAGTTTGCTCATTCTTGATTTTTTAATTGTAAAATTGCCTATTTATGTCATGTGCTGATGAAGACCTTCTAGTCACAATCTACAATAGTCTTTTGTGACTGTGATAATGTGAAACTGGTTGGTTCTAATTTTCATCTGATTTGATATCTTTGATATCTAAATGGATACAATTATAAAGATCTAGAGAGACAATTCTCCTCACACTCATCAACAAACTTTATTTGTTTACTGATTACACCATTGTACAGACACTTACAAGAGTTGCCAGGTTGTCTAGAGCTGTCATACATGATAATGTCATAAGGCACATTTCCCAGAGTGAAGCTGACCAGACTCTGTTGTTGGTTGAACACTTTCAGCATCCCTCGACTTCGCTCAGTCACAAAAATGAAATCCTGTCATAAATAAGTGCATCAGTATCTGTTGATCCATTAGTTTTGTTCTCTACTTAAAAACAATTTTGTTCGATATATTGATGGAAAATACCTTGGATGGTCAGAGTAACTAACAAAGACTGCTTGAAAGATGCTAATGAAAGTAGATCTCTATATACCACACTAAGAAAGAGACAAACACTGTTCTTTGGCCACATAATGAGAAGAGAGACATCAGAGAACAACGTGGACAACTGGAAAGATCAGTGGAAAAAGGGGTACAGGCAGACCAAGAGAGATGCTGGATGGGCTGAAACGATGACATGGAGGGATATCCTCAAGAGAGCTGTTCCAGGCAACCAGGAATCGTGATCTGTGGAGACGCATGAGCGCCTTTGCTGGTTGGCAGGGCAAATGATGATAATGATATTCATGGGAGCCACCATGATGTAGCCGCTAGATGCTTGCATGCAAATCCAGAAGTCATGGGTACAATTAGGAATTGAGCCTAACTTTTTTTGTTTTTGTTTTTTTGTAAATACCGTGGCTTCCATGTCGACCCAGCCTTTAGTGTAAACCTGGAAAGTAAAGGTGGCTGGCATAAGGGTGACCACATCTCCCACCGAATGCTGACTGGTCTGTAATGTATAAACCTATCATTATATACCCAATATGCATATAGGTATGGAAAATAGTCCTTTGGTACATTCATATATGCATCTAGAGTAAACACAGTTCCCAAACCTTTTGTTCTAGTACCTTATTCATTGTCCATGTTTGGGACTGATCACATACAACAGGCATTTCCATTACATTAATCCACATTATTCCATATTTTACTCTTACTCATTTGTAACAGATATATTACTTTACCTCACTGAGACCCAACAAGTTGTTAGTTTACTGTAAATAAATTTCAGTCCCCAAATATCATAGTAATGCTCATTGTGACATGTGCTGTCTCCGTAAGGTCACTAACAACACAGAAGGAACAGGGTTACGACGTACAGAGGCATTATTGAGAAAATTGTAAAAGTGACTGTCTGAATCGCAATGTAACAAATGGCATCAACACATAACATGCTACTGGCCAAGAGTAACACAACAAACTGAATGCTGAGGCTTCCAACGTAGCTGAACGAGAACTCTCTTTAAAAGTTCCAGGTGGACAATATCGATAATCGACACAATGATGAAAAAGGTGCTAAGCAACAAAAAGGTCACACTCGCTCATTACCAAAGCTCGCTAGTACATCCATGTATTGATATGTCCTCAAGATAGGGGCAGTCCTGACCTTGAGATCCAGACGATTATCTTCGTCAGTCGGGCGAGTCCGAATTAAAAAATGCAAGTGAAAGATATACCGGCTTACTGCCGAGAATGTAGTGGTACTGAGCTAGTTAACTGAGAGTCTATCTTTCCCCCCCCCCCCCCAAAACGTCCTCAAGGATCCAACGTTCAATATAGGCAGTTTTGCTTCCGTGGGATCTGCATGGGGCAAACATTTCCTCAAGGATCCACACGTCCGTCTCCATAGGACTATAAACATCGACTGCAAAAGTAACCGGCTTACTGCCGAACTGTGGCAAGTAAGTAAAACGTCCTCAAGGATCCTTTACCGTGGCATTAGGGGGTAAAGGGCAGACCTCAAGGATCCACACCAATCGGCACTTGGGGTGATGTGGTCCGCCTTGGTCAAACTTCGACTTACATCTCCTAGAATACAATTCCCACACAACCTGCGTCGTATTGGAAGTGACGGTCTTATTTGCTCAAAGCCGTACTGGTGCGTTCTGGTGCACATTCGCACGCGACAGTTACGAATACCAGCATTAGAGAGAAAATTGGTATAAGACTGTCTGAATTACACTGACAGACAAATAATGAAACAGTTTGACCATCTAGTGAATATTAGGTCAGACCAAACTGCATGTAAGGCTGAAGATTAAGGAGAAAAGTGAGAGGAAGATAAAAAAGAGATGAAAAAGGTGCTGAGACCTGTAAAAAGGTGAACAAATCCATTACCTAAACCAGCCTAGAAATGCAAAACAAATACAGAAAACCAAGACACTGGACATGATCCTGTTATCAGTGAGGTGACAAAAAAAATTAGAACAGTGGGGCCGAAGCAACTAAAAAATGTATTGTGTAAAGATTTATCAATAAATGCCTAGTAATTTCAAGCTGGTAGAGGTGATTTAATAGTTAACCTGCAGACACTGTTCAAGCTGACTGAAAGGTCCCCCCCCCAAACCTATATCAAGGTAGATTTGTCAGTACCCCCCCCTTCACCCTCCCCCCCAATCTACACAGCAGAAGCGTTAAATACATACAGTTTTGGCACCTTTTTTTTCCAGCTGCATGGAGCATACATTTCTTTGATTGAAAAATATTAAAACATAGTTCATACAATTTTCTCAAAATAAAAAAGACTAACACAAAGCAAAGTAAGTAAAGGACCCTTTTCCAAGCCTTTAGGGGTATTATTAATATAGGGCTAAACCTTTATTTTTATAGACCAATCGAGACTTGGTGGGTGATGTGGTCAGCATCACGCCAGTCACCTTTACTTCCCAGGATTGCACCTGGTACCCACTCAAGGCTGGGTCGACCTGGGAGTCAAGGTCATTTTTTTTTAAGCCGGCTCCGTCAGGACGTGAACATATGACCTTCCGGTCCGCAGGCGGGCATTGTAAAACAAGGAACAATTTAAATTATGGTTATAAATGTTCCTGGGTGAAAGAATGAAACAAACTAACTCACATTATACAATGCCACTCCATAAAAGTTGGTTCCTTCTTCTTGGTGAATGACTCTTCGACCCTGACCATTGAACTGAACCACCTCCACTGTAGCTTTAAAAGAATCCACCCAGTACAAATAGTTACGACCGTAGTCGACTGTCAAACCTCCAGGTTTCACTATGTCTTTTTCAACCAGTGGTCGTCGATTTGCACCCAGCAGATCGGAGATTTCAATTTTTGGCCTCTCTCCCCAGTCAGACCAGATAAGGTAGCTGAGAAATGAGATGGCAGAATGAGCAGACATTAAGCACATTTATGTATACACTAAGTCAAGCTGTAAGAGGTAGATTTAGTAGTGTAGTGACTTGACACTTGCAAGCTGACTGGAAGGTCTTAGGTTCAAACCTATATCAAGGTAGATACAGGCAGTACACATGCAGGCAAAGAAAGATTCCTTCTGTGGTTTTAGTGTGCTGAGTTTGTGCACAAGATTTGTAGAGGATCAACTTGGAATCTATAGCTGCACTACAGGCAGTACACATGCAGGCAAAGAAAGATTCCTTCTGTGGTTTTACAGCACAAGATATTGTAGAGGATCAACTTGGAATCTATAGCTGCACTACAGGCAGTACACATGCAGGCAAAGAAAGATTCCTTCTGTGGTTTTACAGCACAAGATATTGTAGAGGATCAACTTGGAATCTATAGCTGCACTACAGGCAGTACACATGCAGGCAAAGAAAGATTCCTTCTGTGGTTTTACAGCACAAGATATTGTAGAGGATCAACTTGGAATCTATAGCTGCACTACAGGCAGTACACATGCAGGTCAATAAGGACTCTATGTTTGGTTTTACAGTACAATGTGATGTAGAGGATCACTTTGGAATCTATAGCTGCACTACAGGAGTACACATGCAGGCAAAGAAAGATTCCTTGTGTGGTTTTACAGCACAAGATGTTGTAGAGGATCACCCTGGAAGCTATAGCTGCACTACAAGAGTACACATGCAGGCAAAGAAAGATTCCTTGTGTGATTTTACAGTAATTATATATATTTTAAACAAACCCCATGGAAGACTAGGACTGGTCAGACAATGCATTAAAAAAGCAACAGATGAGATGAGAATGTACCCATCTGAGGAGAATGGCCTGCTGCTACAGCCCAGGCAGCCATGCGGAAGAAATATAATGAACAAAGAGCAAGAGAAAGCCCATACAAATTATATGGAATGACAGCATCAAAAACAGCTTTTAAGAAATAAAGATCAACTTATACAATGCATTAGAAAGGACTTAGAGAATATTTCCCCCTCCATCTCCCCATCCCACAATACACTGATAAGGTAATGATGTGGTAATTGAAGGAAGAGAAGAGTAAGGAAAAAGGTGGCTGGTTTAACTCTTTTGATATCAGAAAGTTAAGCAGTTACATTCAAAGGGGCAGTATACACAGCAGCAGTGACCATTTTGGAAAGCCAGATTTCTGTAGTATGTTGTGACCAACAACAACAAAAATGTAAGAAAGCACACTATGTTGTAGAGTGAAATCAAGGGGAAGAGTCATTTTTACAACAGCTGTTGCTTGGGACTAAAAGAGTTAAACCTTACTGAAGACAGTAATAAATAATAGGTTTTAATATACTGAGGGGAGCAACAGTAGGGTAGTGGCTAGATGCTTGCCTGAAGAGCTGAATGTCTTGCATTCGAATCCTTATCAATTTTTTTTTTTTTTCAGAAATGACCTTGGCTCCCAGGTCAACCCAGCCTAAAATGGGTACCAGGTGAAGTTCTGTGAAGCACAAGATGGCTGGCATGATGCCATGACGACATGCATAAAGTATCGATGCTTCCCTGTCATGAAAAAGGTTCTTTAATAAATGGCATTCGAGTTGTAAATACATCCTGAAAAGAAATAAGCAGAGAATGACCAAACAGGCACTAAAATGGGAAATAAAGGGATTGAGGATGTGAGGAAACCAAAAGAAACCCTAAAATGAACATTGATGAGAAAGGCCAAAGGTGCTGGACCCAATACCAACCATGATATGGAAGGGATTGCGCAGAATAGAACAGAATGATGAAACAATCTGTGAGCCCTATTTGACAAATAATGGCACAACATGACTATGGGGATGATGATGATTCAGATTGTGTGAGCCCCGAAAAAAATAGCTTGCATCAATCAAAATTGTGTTTGTGTAGGTACCTCTTCTCCCATTCTTCTTCTTCTTCTTCACTTCCTCTTTTACCGCTGTGGCTGTCGAGGGAGATATAAGGTTCTGTTTCCAGCTCTTCTGACCGTCTCGACCATAGGCACATCGTGCTGTTGTACAGTTTCTCTGATGTTATCCTTCCATGCTCTACGTCCTTCTTCTCTTTCCATGTATGCTTTGTATGGTATGGTGTCACAAGGCATTCTCTCTAAGTGGGCAAACCATTTCACTTGCTGTGTTCGTACTTCTCCCATCAGGGTACTAAAATCAGTAACATTACCATGCGAACTGTTGAGATGTAGATGTATCAACTAGCGTGTCATATTTCATGTAGACACAACCAGTCAAATACAAAAGTTACAGACAGGATTGGGGAAGGGGTAAAGGGATGTAAAAAGAAACAAGTAACATATTAACAAAGAGACAAGTGACATATTTCAACTGCAGTAAAAAAAAAAAAATGGGTTTTTTTATACAGACAATACCATCGACTCACAAATCTTGATGAGAATGGTGGAGAAAGGCATTCTCTATTCAGAATACAGTTCAATATAAATAAATATATATATATATATATATATATATATATATATATATATATATATATATATATATATATATATATATACACACACACACACATGCACGCACGCACACACGCACGCGCACACACACACACACAAGATATATGAAGATGTGTGCAAGTGACACATGAATGATACAGGTATTGAGGTGGAATCCTGGGAATAAAATGCGACAGAGTTGCTCATGCTGCACCCTTGGTAAAGAACTGATTCATGACAAGCTAGATGTTCTCAAAGCACTTTGGGAGCAAGTTAACAATGTAGAAGCATGAATAAATCATTTTGGAGAGAATATGAGTTGAGTTGAGTTGATTCAAGAACCGACATCACAGCACTCGGGGCATTCCCATAAGCGCTCCATCCACATCTTCAGCAGCCAGTGAAGAGTTCCTATACTAAAGGTGCCAGTAGCATTCTAATTAAACGTCTGTCTTGCCTTTCCTATGAGCCTCGAGCATCAACCAGAACCTCTCGTCACTCCCAGCTGCATGAATCTCACCAGAATGTGGTGATCCATCCGCCCCTCCGAACTCGAGCCAAGTGATCTTGCTAACACTCCGCACTCAGAGAAAAGGCAAGACAGACATATAAGCAGACTGTTACTGGTAATGACAGCACTGAACTCTTCACTGGCTGCTGAAGATAAGAACAAAGTACTTATGGGAAAGTTATGAGTGCTGTGGTGTAAATTATTAGCTCAGCTCAACTAAACTCAAATCAACAGACAATAGTGGAAGGAAAGATTGCCAGTTGGAAAAGAACTTGATAATGATGATGACACCATATATGGAATCACAAATTAACATGTTGTGAGCATTTTGCTGCAGAATGAGTTTGGGAATTAAATCCAAGTCACAGAAACCTCCAATCAAACTCAACATGTAGCAGGTGCATTGCAGAACTTGCTCTCATCATTGTCTGCCAGAAAGAAACTTGGTCTCTCGCCAGCTCTCCTGCTTTGTGTACTTTCATATTCAAGGAGTCACTTGTATCCTGTGCCATCTTCATGTTGGTTGGCCCCTGCTTCTCCTTCCTGGTACCATGCCTTCTGCTTTCATTTTTCCAATCCGCTTTCCAATCCGACTTGGCGCTTGATATGACCAAAATATTTCAGCTTCTGAGACAAGATGCTGTTTATTAGCCAATCTTCCTTGATGTTCAGATCATTTAAAATGTCACAATTTCTTCTCTTCTTTGTCTGTGGTTTTCTGACAATCTGTCTATAGCACTTCAGCTCAAAAGCCCCTATTTTCATTCGTAAGAGTGGGAGATATTCCATGACTTACATCCATATGTTGCTTTTTGGAAAGGCATGCTCTCTAAATTGTAATTTTGATTTCTTTGCTGGTGCTTATTCATAAACTTTTAGCGCTGTTTAAAAAAATATTCATCTGCTTCTTCAGTGTCCATCATTTAATATGTGATTGTGTTGTGTTAAAGTTTTAAACTAGGCTGTGATAGGTGTGCCTTTTGGCTCAACATATCTGATATCAGCAGTCTGAATTTGCAATTTTTAATAACTTTTTTTTAAAAACCTAGTCACATAAGAAGTTGCTGCAGTTGTCCAAGAGGGATATTAACTAAAAATGTATGAGTATGTTACTTTCAAACAGTCATACATTGGGCCAGATTTCTTTAGTAAGTTCACAAAAAAATTATATTGGTGGTTAATACATAGTGCAATGTGTGATACAATGAGTCAGTAGCTTCCCCAAATGATGCCTTGTTTAAGACATAAAGAATTAAGGGTTAGTGGCCTGGCCAGGTTTTTGTTGCTTTTGATTTGTTTACCCAAAAAGACACCCTGGAACCCACATTGGAAACAAAATTACATGATCCTCTTACCCTTTCTGTGGATACACAGCCACGCCATGAGGCGAGTCCAGTTTGTCCTGCACTACTATCTTGTATGCATGCTGGTTGGGGTTCGAGGATGTCATCATGATCCAGTTATAGAGGGCATCAGTGAAGTAAACATTTCTAGACAACCAATCCACAGCAATCCCATACACTTCAGGAGATGTCCCAGCAAACAGAGCTCTAGTGTCAGTGGAGCCATTGAGAACTAGGCTCTGGGGAAAATATTACTATATTATTGCCAAAACACACAAATGCAATGAAATTAATATACCCTGCATGTGTTATTATTGTCATTATTGCAATGATAGTTATCTGTTACATTTTGGCCCGCTGCAATAAAATTGCTCATTAACTCTTGCTTTATTCCATATAAAGTGCACAAAATAAAATGTTCTACACAAAGTGTTACAGATATAGTGTCAAAGATAAACAGTGGCAGACAAATTGTTCCAGGTAAAAGTTTTCATGTAAAGTGTTCTGTACAAAGTGTTTCAGATAAAGTGTTTTATACAAAGTGTCTGGTACAAAGTGTTCCAGATAAAGTGTTCCATATAAAGTGTTTTATACAAAGTGTCTGGTACAAAGTGTTCCAGATAAAGTGTTCCATACAAAGTGTTCCATACAAAGTGTCTGGTACAAAGTGTTCCAGATAAAGTGCTCCATATAAAGTGTTTTATACAAAGTGTCTGGTACAAAGTGTTTCAGATAAAGTGCTCCACATAAAGTGTTTTATACAAAGTGTCTGGTACAAAGTGTTCCAGATAAGGTGTTCCATACAAAGTGTTCCATACAAAGTGTTCCATACAAAGTGTTCACGGTAAAGTGTATGGAAAGAGAGATCAATTCAAAGTGTTCCGGACAAAATTGAACATACAAAGTGTCCCATACAAAGTGTTCCAGATAAAGTGTTCCATACAAAGTGTTCCATACAAAGTGTCTGGTACAAAGTGTTCCAGATAAAGTGCTCCATATAAAGTGTTTTATACAAAGTGTCTGGTACAAAGTGTTTCAGATAAAGTGCTCCATATAAAGTGTTTTATACAAAGTGTCTGGTACAAAGTGTTCCAGATAAGGTGTTCCATACAAAGTGTTCCATACAAAGTGTTCCATACAAAGTGTTCACGGTAAAGTGTACGGAAAGAGAGATCAATTCAAAGTGTTCCGGACAAAATGGAACATACAAAGTGTCCCATACAAAGTGTTCCAGATAAATTGTTCCCACAAAGTGATGCTGACATAATCACCCACTGGGTGCTGATCATTGGTCTATAAAATATAGGTCTAGCCCAATATACCCAGTACACCTGAAGGCATGGAAAACAGTCCTTAACTCTTTGAGTCCCAAGGAACGCATCATGATGTGCCGAGTTTATGTCTCTCTTTACTACTCCTTGGGCCTGTGATGCCAAACACACTGGGACTCAAAGAGTTAATACTAAAGAAATACTGATATCTCAGTAACATCTTTTCTTTTTTCTTTTTTTTTAGTACAGCAACAGATATAAAATTTCTACAATGAATCCTAAATGTAAAAAAAAAGGAGACAGCATAAGAAACAGAGATATCAGGCAACAAGTGGTGCTCTGAAATCTGGTGGATTGGGTACTATAAGCTTTGGATAAATTTCCAAGGGTACTAAGTGATGCCTCTTCACAATCTGATGCTGAAAGGCAGAACAGGTGTCTAGAGAAAATAGCTTGCAATGATAAAACGTGAAGATTTTGGTCAAAGTTTTTTTTAGACTTAACTGGTAACTATCTCATGTTTACATATCAGTGTCTCTGTCTATTGAGCAACTTATTCACGTTCATTTGTCACTATTCTGCTTTACGCCAATTGCTGTTGAAGTTATCTTTTTACCTTTATCAAACAGTGCAGGCTCGGTTGCCCAGTATGTTGTAGAGTCTCAAAGAAGAAGTGACTCCTTCAATCTATGTTTTACTTGTTTGTCCCCTAAATCTAGATGTTTCTAGTTTTATGTTGTATGCACTCACTGCTGGCATCATTGGATTCATTCTCATTAAATGGCCAAACCATTTCAGTCTTTGTTTTTCAATGAATTTAATTATTGTTATTGTTCCAATATTCTTGTAAATTTTTTATTTCTCACATGATCTTGGTTAGTTTTATTTATAGCTTTAGTCGAACATCTCACTTTGCCAGGGGTCAGATTTCTTTGGTGTTCTTTAGTGGAAAAAAGTATATGTAAATGTAATATTGCAGATGCATTGTTCATAATACATTCAATAAAAAAAAACACCTGTTATTTACAACATAATCTACCTGTATTTTCTTGTTCATGCTTTCACTCCAGAACAAAGTCTGGTCCTCCCAGTGGAACCCTAGAGCCTTGAATTCCCAGGTGAAATGTGGAGCACTTATGTAGGTTACCTAAGAGATCATAAACATGGACTGCAAATGTGTTGCAAGCAATACTCCTACAAGACAATCTATTCAGGGTTATTGGTGAATTCTTAGAAATGCATTTACAGACGTCTTTTTGAGTTCACTGGATGTAAACTTTGGCAGAAAGTTCTGGTTAATCGTCCACCTGGACATTAGTCTTGATACAAAACTAGTTTTTCCTGCACATCACTTTTACAGATGTAGAATATATGTAAGCAGACTGTTGGTTCCTCAATTTTTATTCATGTATGATAAGACAGCGAATGTGACAATAGATATGTATGTATAAGACAGTAAATGTGACAATAGATATGTATGATAAGACAGTGAATGTGACAATAGATACGTATGATAAGACAGTGAATGTGACAATGGATAGTATGATAAGACACTGAATGAGACAATAGACATGTATGATAAGACAGTGAATGGGACAACAGAAATTTACGGGGAAAAAACAGTGAATGTGACAACAAAAATGAAGGATAAAACAATAAATGTGACAACAGAGATTTATGATAAAACAGTGATTGTGACAATATAAATGTATGATAAGTCAGTGAATATGACAATAGAAATGTATGAAAAGCAGTGATTGTGACAAAAAAATGTAGGATTAGACAGTGAATTTGACAATATAAATGTGTAATAAAACAGTGAATGCAGCAAAAAGAAATGTTTGATAACAATGGAAATGTGACAATGGTGATGCATGAAGAGACAGTGAAAGTGACAGTCTAGAGATTCTGAGGAGACAGAATGTAACAATATGGAATTATTATAAGACAGTGAATATGATAATGGAGATGTTCATGAGACAGTTAATGTGAGAATGGGGTGTATTATTAAGACACAAAATGTTACAATGGTAATCGAAAAAAAAAATCATCCAACAGGCACTGACATATGAAAAAGAAGGACTGAGGAAATGAGGATGTCTAAAAGAAACCCTAAAGTGAACGTTGATGAGAGAAGCCATAGGTGCTAGACTGAATTCCATCCATAATATTGAAGGGATAGCACAGAATATAAAAGAATCACGGAATACACTGTGAGCACTGTGTGACATATAATGGCACAACAGGATACTATTGATGATGATTCTGATTGACCGATTGGATGATTGATTGTTGAATGTTATAAAGAGACAATAACACCAGCTATAACCTCTGGTTCAATTTTTTTTTTTTTTTTTTAGTTTCTTATAGATCTCTATATACAACAATAAGAAAGAGACAAACACTGTTCTTTGGCCACATAATGAGTAGAGAGACATTGGAGAACATCGTGACATCTGGAAAGATTAGTAGGAAAAGGGGTAGAGGCAGATCAAGAAAGATTGGCTAAAACGATGGCATGAAGGAATATCATCAAGAGAGCTGTTCCAGGCAACCAGGGATCGTGATCTGTAGAGACGCATGAGTGCCTTTGCCAGTTGGCAGGGCACATGATGATGATGATGATGATCTTATTACTGCCATTGGTGGGCCAAGTAGATCCCTGCATTGCTTGTGTGGTTTCCGATGACCCTGCGGTGGGGAAAACAAGAACAGACCCACTGCCTCTCTAACAAGCATGTTGTAAGAATCGACTAACAGATGGCTTCCTTCGAAGTCGGAGTGCATCTGTTCCAAGCGACAAGCGACAACCAACTGCACACAAATAAGCCAGTAAAGCGGATGTACATGCAAAACTCCGACACAAAGCTAAAGATCAAATGGACGAACAGTCAGAACTTTTCACCGGAGCTTAGAGACATGGAGGAAGATGAAGATCTCCACATGTCCTAACTCATGACATACAGCTTGTAGTGACCAGTTTATTTGATTTCTGCCTTATCGATAAGAAAATGTACCTTTACTCTAGGTCAAATCAAGTAATCAAGTAATGGGTCAACTATCTCCCCTGTTGACACACAAGCAGATACCTCGGAGTACTAACGTGAATCTTATCAGAACTATTTTTTGGCCAATGCTATACTATCAATGCCAAACGTGGACACTTACATCATCCAATGAACGTAAAATTGTGACAACAGAGATGAAATGCCTTAGAAGAGCTGCAGGAGTTTCAAGGAAAGACAGAATACGAAAGACAAGCATGAACGTCACTTGGTTACCTGAGGTTTTCTGTTGGTAACCCATGTGTTGGGGTCACCTTGTATGGACACCAGGCGTGAGACTGTGTACACCTTTACTTGTGGAGTCTGAGCCCAAATAAGATTTGTTCCGTGATTAACTGCAAATTTTTTTATTGTTCAAGTTATCAAGTATTGAAATAATATATAAACACATTGGGAGTTATTATAATATGAATGAATGAATGAATGAATGAATGAATGAATGAATGAATGAATGAATGAATGAATGAATTGACATCACTGCACTCGGGACATTTCCCCACGGGCTCTGTCCCTTCTTTAGAAACCAACGAAGAGTCGACATGCTAACAGAACCAGTTGCAACCTGATTAAAAGTCCACCTCTGTTTCATCTTCAATGTTGATATTTTCCAGAACATCAACACACCCCTTTTGAATTAGTCTGTCAGTATATGCATTCCCTATATGTTCTTTTGCATTATTTGATCTGATAGAGCCTTTACCACATCTGCGTTATCATGGAGCAGCTCACCGCTCATAGAAGCGGCAGCAGTTAATCTATCAGCGTGCTCGTTAGCTGGCACACCTGGAAATCCTGGACAGCAAATCCATGATAAGCTCGTGATATGGATCCTTATCTAGTGATGCAAGCAACTCTGCGCACTGGACACCCGTTTTAATTTACAAAGGATGCTCTGTGAGTGTGTTACAATTCAGGCATGTCGGGCTGTGCCACTCTCAAGCCATCAGACAGCTACCATTACTGCCTCCACCTCCATTATCATACTAGGTGTAGTGACGTTATACGTGAGGCTGTCTGTTTTCAAGCAGAGTCCATCATCCTTGGTAACAAACCCCAGCCCACTCTTCTTACCTTTGAGTTAAGTTAGTTTCGTATCCTTTACAGCACGTTGCAGAACCAACCCCAACAGCCCCTGGCTGTTGTGTGGTTTTTCTAGGCAATTAGTTTGCCATTGCCTTCTGGACGGTCGGATTTCTTGATACCACTGTCGAAACCAACACAAGGCGCATTGCCAGAAGTTGGGATCAAACCCGGCATCGCAGCATTACGACGCGTTCGCATCGACTTAGCCACTGAGCCAACTACCTTTGAGTAGTGACCCTTATATGTAATAACACTGAAATGAATAAGTATATTTTTAAAATCTATCTATAGCAATGAGCCTATAAGCCGGATGGACTGAACAGATATCGCTGTATAAATGACTACTACTACATCGGGGTTACCAGTGGCGAAAGCTAGCCTCACCTACATATGACTGCCAGACTTGTGTATCCGTCAAACTGACGCAGAGAGCCACGCTGAAGAAATATGATGCACACGGAGCAAGGGAAAGACGAAACAGAGCTCTAGCCCTTGACAACATAGATGGAACGGCCATACCATATTGTAGTAGATAGATAAGACGGACGGACGGACGGACGGACGGACGGACGGACAGACAGACAGACAGACAGACAGACAGACAGACAGACAGACAGACAGACAGACAGACAGACAGACAGACAGACAGACAGACAGACAGATAGACAGACAGATAGACAGATAGACAGATAGACAGATAGACAGACAGACAGATAGATAGATAGATAGACAGATAGACAGATAGATAGACAGATAGATAGACAGATAGATAGACAGATAGATAGACAGATAGATAAGATAGATCAGATAGATCAGATAGATCAGATAGATCAGATAGATCAGATAGATCAGATAGATCAGATAGATCAGATAGATCAGATAGATCAGATAGATCAGATAGATCAGATAGATCAGATAGATAAGATAGATAAGATAGATAAGATAGATAAGATAGATAAGATAGATAAGATAGATAAGATAGATAAGATAGATAAGATAGATAAGATAGATAAGATAGATAAGATAGATAAGATAGATAAGATAGATAAGATAGATTAGATAGATTAGATAGATTAGATAGATTAGATAGATTAGATAGATTAGATAGATTAGATAGATTAGATAGATTAGATAGATAGATAGATTAGATAGATTAGATAGATAGATAGATAGATAGATAGATAGATAGATAGATAGATAGATAGATAGATAGATAGATAGATAGATAGATAGATAGATAGATAGATAAGATAGATAAGATAGATAGATAGATAAGATAGATAAGATAGATAAGATAGATAAGATAGATAAGATAGATAAGATAGATAGATAGATAGATAGATAGATAGATAGATAGATAGATAGATAGATAGATAGATAGATAGATAGATAGATAGATAGATAGATAGATAGATAGATAGATAGATAGATAGATAGATAGATAGATAGATAGATAGATAGATAGATAGATAGATAGATAGATAGATAGATAGATAGATAGATAGATAGATAGATAGATAGATAGATAGATAGATAGATAGATAGATAGATAGATAGATAGATAGATAGATAGATAGATAGATAGATAGATAGATAGATAGATAGATAGATAGATAGATAGATAGATAGATAGATAGATAGATAGATAGATAGATAGATAGATAGATAGATAGATAGATAGATAGATAGATAGATAGATAGATAGATAGATAGATAGATAGATAGATAGATAGATAGATAGATAGATAGATAGATAGATAGATAGATAGATAGATAGATAGATAGATAGATAGATAGATAGATAGATAGATAGATAGATAGATAGATAGATAGATAGATAGATAGATAGATAGATAGATAGATAGAATAGATAGATAGATAGATAGATAGATAGATAGATAGATAGATAGATAGATAGATAGATAGATAGATAGATAGATAGATAGATAGATAGATAGATAGATAGATAGATAGATAGATAGATAGATAGATAGATAGATAGATAGATAGATAGATAGATAGATAGATAGATAGATAGATAGATAGATAGATAGATAGATAGATAGATAGATAGATAGATAGATAGATAGATAGATAGATAGATAGATAGATAGATAGATAGATAGATAGATAGATAGATAGATAGATAGATAGATAGATAGATAGATAGATAGATAGATAGATAGATAGATAGATAGATAGATAGATAGATAGATAGATAGATAGATAGATAGATAGATAGATAGATAGATAGATAGATAGATAGATAGATAGATAGATAGATAGATAGATAGATAGATAGATAGATAGATAGATAGATAGATAGATAGATAGATAGATAGATAGATAGATAGATAGATAGATAGATAGATAGATAGATAGATAGATAGATAGATAGATAGACCGACAGACAGACAGACAGACAGACAGACAGACAGACAGACAGACAGACAGACAGACAGACAGACAGACAGACAGACAGACAGACAGACAGACAGACAGACAGACAGACAGACAGACAGACAGACAGACAGACAGACAGACAGACAGACAGATAGATAGATAGATAGATAGATAGATAGATAGATAGATAGATAGATAGATAGATAGATAGATAGATAGATAGATAGATAGATAGATAGATAGATAGATAGATAGATAGATAGATAGATAGATAGATAGATAGATAGATAGATAGATAGATAGATAGATAGATAGATAGATAGATAGATAGATAGATAGATAGATAGATAGATAGATAGATAGATAGATAGATAGATAGATAGATAGATAGATAGATAGATAGATAGATAGATAGATAGATAGATAGATAGATAGACAGACAGACAGATTAGATAGACAGATAATCGCAGCCCCAAACTCACAGAAAGGGTCACTCCATAAATTATTCAGCTTCCGTGCCAGCTAAAACGCCAACAAAATACCAATTAATTTCCCTGGTGAACATTTAAACCAGCAGGCCTGACAAGGCCATCAACACACACAAACACGCATACGCTCAGTATATGCACAAGGCAACCGTAAAAGGTGCCAAGACCAACTTCGGCTTTTTATGTATTCGTCCTTAAACACTTAATACCCAAGCGGCAGTAATTAATTCAATGTATTTGAATATGAAAGAAATTAAACGGCGACTATCAATTGCTCTTCAAAGACTAAAACAACTGAATAAATTATGGAATTGTACAGATAGAATTACAAAGGTCAGATTTTTAAGAGCATGCATCTTTCCCATTGCAACATACGCCTGTGAGACCTGGACACTTACTAAACAAGCGGAACAGCGCATAAATGCATTTGAATATAAATGTTACAGACAGGTTCTAAGAATATCTTGGGTAAAGAAAAGAACAAATGCATCCATACTTCAAGAGCTGAATATTGAAGAGGGTTGGCTAGTAAAAGACAATAAAACAAAGAAAATTGAAATATTTTGGTCACTTGAAACGTCATGGAGGTCTAGAGAGAACAATAATGGAGGGGTATATGCCTGGGAAGAGAGGAAGAGGAAGGCCAAGGAGAAGATGGGTGCAGGATGTGGCAGATGATCTCCAGATGGGTGTATCAGACGCAGGACATCTTGCTCATGATAGGAAGGTTTTCCGGAGGGTTGTTATGGCAGCGAGGTTCCGCGAGGGACATGCTACTGAATGAATGAATTTGAATATGTGGTAATTCCCGGCCTCAACATGGGACCCAATTTTTATTTTTATTTTGAAGTCCCACCCTGGCTGTTGTCCGGGGCCTTTTTATAACCTAACGGTTGAAACTCAGTTACCTAATAGGTTCCGCTGCAGTTGTCAACTGCCAGTTTAAACTCGTTTATACCCGGCGCGCTAGCTCAGTTGGTTAAACCAGCTGCGCGGCGACCGGGTAACAAACTCCTTGTGATCCGAGTTCACGCTCGAGGATGGGCAGAAAAGCCACACATTTCCCAGAATTAGGGTACCTATCATGGAATCAAGGTAAAAGGGGTGCGATATTCATAGTACCGAGCCAAAGTGTTTATAGCTCATGGTTTTCTGGACTCGTTCAGCCAAAATACCCCCTCCCCTTTCCCTTTGTCCCCCTTCCCCTATGTGTTAATCTGAAACCATCTTACTTCTCACGCTTAATCAAGGGACACTAATCAAATTAGAGATGTGCTAATGACGCAGTGTCACTAGCAGAAAGTGAACAGGAGTTACGGGACCTAGTGCATAAAGCACATAGACGGAGTGCATGGTAGGGT